CTTTGTGGGAAAAGGTGAGATCCTTTTTCAACAAAGGGGTTAATTAGTGGCTGATTTTAGACCGTACTTTCTGGTTATATCCCATATGCACCCATCCCATCCTGCTCCAAAGGGAAGGCTGCCTGTTTTTGAGAGGGAAATCAGTGAAATGAGATTCCCACCTGAAAGAACCAAAGCCTTTGCGTCTGTCAGAAACCCTTTTGAATTGTGACAACCTAACAAGGAAATTGTCTCCATGAATTTGCCATCGTTAGAGTGTGCTATGACTGGTAGATTTGGCTGTTTCTGAGCTCCCAGGCAGTGAACAGAGCTGGAAGCTGGCGTGGTGGTTCATTCCCAGAGGAGATGGCACACGTGTGCCACTTCACACACAGGGCCCCTGGCCTGTGTTTTCCTGCCCTGCAGCTCCCGTGGGCCTCAGTGGGAAGTTTAGTCCCTGAGTGCCCTTCAGCCTTAGGTTCTGCTGCTGCACCTGCGGCTTAATTAGTGTTAATTATAACAGCAGTTCAGTAAGAACTGGACTAACCCACTCGCGGGCAACCCAGAAGTTAAAAGGTGGGAAGGATCGGGATGAGTGTTAGCGCGGGGAACCGGTGCCAGGCTCCAGCCCCGTGGAGCTGTGAGAGAGAGGAGCTGCCTCGTTCCCTGGGTGAGCATCAGCTCCTCATTATCACATCAAAGGCCGTGGCAGAGCTCACTCCTCCACACACCGAGCGGGGGAGTTTATTGCGGAAACTTCTCCTTCCCCTTGTCTGCCTCTGTGCCTACTCCCCAAGGTTCATTTGGATTCGGGGGGATGAATAAGCCCCAAACACAAAAGGAAGACGAGACAGAGTGGGTGACTGTCACATCAGGGCTCCCAGAGCCTCAGCTGAAGGCTCAGGGGAGGGTGGAGGTGGAGGAGACAATCTTAGCTGTTTCCAGCACTGCCTCTTACAACTCTGTTTTCTTCTGGTGGGATGGTCGGTTAATGGTTGACAAACGGGAAGAGACATCTCTCATTCCAGAGATCAAATTGCACAACGAATTAAAATGCTCCCTGAAGGCACTGCTGCTCCCTCTGCTCTCAACAGGAGCAGAGCCTACAGTGACTGCAGAGTAGGTGCCCCTGGTCCTGGGCTCTCAGGGGTCACTGTCCCTTTGGGGAATGAGTTATTTGGGTAATAACGAACCCTAACACTGCCCCTGCGGGTAATGAGTGTCAGGCCAGTCTCTGGTCATCAGGGAGGGGGCTCGTTTATGTCCCATGAAACGCCAGGAAAATGGAGGCAATTCCCCATTTGGTTCATGGCAACTCAAAAATTGGGCTGCCCTGTTTCATACTACAGGAGCCTGCAGAAATTCAGACTGTTCATTTTATAAAAGCTTTTGATATACATTGTGATATAAATCACTCTCTGAGCCAGATATAATTTGAAATTATATCAAAATAAGATTAGAATTTGTTCTACCCACATCTTGTTGTTCTATTTGTGAATTTAGGAGCTGAGCACTCCACAGTTGCCATAATTCCCCCTGTAAACAGCCCTGTGTGTCCTTTGAGCAGAGCAGCACCGCTGTCAGGGCTTGTGAGCACCCCCAGGAACATTAAGATGTTGCACTGAAGTGAAATTTGTGTCTCCATGCTGCTGGAATCAGATAATTCATCCCACTCTAACATAAAGGTCTATTTTAGCTGCCTTCTGATACTACCTGTCTCTGTATCAGTTAGAAGGGAAATGGTGTGGCTGTTTGGACTCAGCCCAGTGCATCTTAAATGGCACTGCCTGTGCTGAATCCCATCCTGAACAGAACAGCAGCCCCTCTGCATTTCCACGTTTCCACAGGAGTCCAAAGGCACTCCAACTGTCCTGCCATTTGGTGTTAAGTCCACCCTCTGCAGGTAGCAGATACCTGTAGCTCTTTAACATATTTCAAACTTTTGAGGCCATTGACAACTCTTTCCCCAGCTCAGCAAGGGCACAGTGATGTCACTGACTGCCTGGAGGGTGGTTTCCAGCTGGAAAACTGTTTTTAGGTCTTGCTTGCCTTTAATCAGTACAATTTGGAAGATGTCAGTTGAAATAATACATGAAACTAATTTACAGTGTAGGAATGAGGAAGCAAAGTACCAAACTGCAGAGACTCAGAGCCAGGGAGAAGGTGCTGCCTCCCAGGTGAGCAGATAAATGGCTCCTAAAAGGCCTCTAATGCTGATTGAGGTAGGTACCTCCCAAGTGCCCTGTTTTTTTGTGGCTTTGAGAGGTGTCTGGGGCACCAGCCCCTGCGCCAGGGAGGAACCACGGCACAAAAACGCCCTCACGGTGTGTGCTGGGTGGGATCTGTGGGTCAGGGCGAAATCGCTGAGCTGGCACTGGGGCAGGGGTGTAGGCACAGCTCTGTGCAACCCCAGAAGGTGGAGAAGGGTCAGAATTATCCACCTGCTCGTGGACAAACGTCCTTAGGGGAGAGGTCTCGTTTCCCAGCTGAAGGAAACGTGCGGGAAGTTGGGGAAATGGAACTTTCTGTAGCCTCAGGAGTTGAGGGGGCTGTGAAAATGCAGCCCCTGCTTTAACCCCTCACGGCACCCCACTCGTGTGGTGTCTGCAGGGCTGGTTGGGAGGGCCGGTGCCAGCAGATGGCAGTGCCTGTCAGAGTTCCACCGTCAGGAAAACAGGGAATGTGCTCCAAAAGAGGTGTTATTGGCACTGCATGAGGCACGGAGCCGTTCCCACGCGGGAGCCGTGGGGCAAACACTGCCCGCAGCAGTGGCCACACCGTGAGCCCGCTCTGCTCCCCTGGGCCCCCTGTCCGTGGCTGTGGATTCGGGATGTGTGGGAAAAGTGTGGGGGGGAGGTGGGAAGGAAGACTTCTCCTTGCCTTGACCGTGACACACCAGCTCTGCAGCCTTTCAGAGACTGTTCCTCCAGGGTTGCTGGCTGGACAGCACGAAAGGTCCTTCTCCATTTCCTAAATTCATTCTAAATCTTATTAAATGAGATGAAATGAAGGAGGAAGCCGAACTGAGGCCGTTCTGAAGGTGGCACTGTCCTTAGTGCTGCTGGAGCAGCATCCGGGGACCTGCTCTGAAAGCCAACACTCTGATTTTAGGGGGGACTGACTCTCACACTGAATGAATTACTGCTTAGAACTTTGTAAGGAAGTTTGAATGCTTGTTAAAATACCCAAACTGTTAATGTACTCCCCAAATTGCACTTTTATAACGTTATCATGGACACACTTCTAAAAGGTAAAACTAATACTGCTGCAAAGGCATCCCTGAGAGCTCTGAGCAGACAGAAGATGTAACATAATTTCAGAGGATTTAATCAGCAGTTTATTACCAGGCCTTTTGCTTTCACTGCAAATGGTTTCACTGCTGATTTGGGTTCAGTCCTTGGAGCTGTTTGCAGCTAATGCTACAACAGGAGCCAGGCTGGCTGGGCTCATCTCACTGCCCACACGGTGCTGGAGTGGGAAATACAAACCAACAAGTGGAAAAGCAAAATTACATCTGCAAACCCAATTTTTAATGGACTAAGTCCTTGGTCTGGCTCCAGATTCTTGTCCCAGCTGGCCAGATCCAACCTCTGTGGTTGGGCTCCATGAACTTGAACGTCATTTTCAACCTTAATGATTTTCTGATTCTGTGATTCCACATAAAGATCAGAGAAGAATTCTGATAAAAGGTGTGTGTTTATGGAGATGGGCTTCTTAAACCAGCCCCTAGGCAATATGATTATTCATAATATTCAAATCTCTGGTTATTTCCCTCTCTGTCTGTGCATTTCTCCAGTCTAGTTTCCATAATAAGGTGTTAATGTAGCCTAGAATTAACCTGATCAGAAACAGGTTTTATGATCTGCAGGAAGCTCTGCTAGTTCCATTTTTAACCTGTTCAAAAAAAAGGAATGCAAATAATAGGTTGCAAAACGTCCACACAGTAAAACAAAAATGCCATTCCACTGCTGATGTATTTCATTAGTGATAGTGTAATTTAAAAAAAAGTAAACTGAAAATCATTCAAAGCAGAACGTGGGGAAAATAGTTTTAATATTCCAGCTATACTGACACATTCCTGCAGTGCTTTGGTTTTGAGAAGTTCTCTTTTCTTGACCAGATAAATCCGTGAAAGCATTTCCGATGGGCTGTAATGAATGTGGTCCCGGAGCAGAGAATTAGGGAGGACAGGAGGACAGGATCAGGGGAACAGGACAACAAAGCCTGGAGGCAACCTGCAGTCACCAGGCAGGTCTGGCTCATATCTGCTGCTGGCCTGACATTTGCTTTTCAGAAAAGAAAATATTTTGCTAAGCTGAGGAGACAGTGTGGTATTATCAACGATAAAAAAAAAAAAAGAAAAGAAAAAAAAAAGGAGAAAAAAGAAAAAGATAAAAAAATACAGCAAAGCACTGAAGAACTTTGAGAGCATTCCCTGGATGAATCCCAGGAAAACACCACAACTCCGTCAGCAAACACCACGGCAGGAGCTTGATGGTTGACAGGCAAGGGGAGCATGCCAGAGGAATCATACTGGCCCTCTTTGTCCCCAAATTCCTTGGTCCAGCCTGGATGAGAGTTCCCCCAGTGCCGATGACTATGGACACACGCGGTCTCTGTGAAATGAGCGGCTCCCTCCTGGTTTTGGGAACTGCTTTCTGTTTGTGTGCTTTTAAAAACACAAGAACACAGCCCCCACCCCCTCAAACCCGATATCCCCTCCAGTAAATCCGGGACAGGAGATCCCGGGAGGAGAAGGGAACTCGGCGCTCGGGGGAGTGCGAGGGGAGCGCAGCCCCCGCGGGTCGGACCCGAGGATGCCGGAGGTCTTTCCCAGCCCCAAAGCTCCTGTGATCCCGAGCTCCAGGGCTCGGATTCGCCTCTCCCCCTCCTCACCAGCCCTCCCCGCGCTCGGCAGCGCCCAAACCCCTCCCTCGCCCTCCCTCCCCACCTCCGCTCCTGCTCATTCACAACAGATAAGGCGCCGTCACACGCAGCCTCCCCTCCCTCCCCTCTGCCCCAGCCCTTAAAAAGCTTTATACCGCCAAGAATCCCTTGGAACGGGAGAGGCGGGAGCAGGGACAGGCAGGCAGAGGAGAGGCAAAAGTATCTCCGCGTCAGCGGAGGGTTTGGAGCAGAGCAGGGAAATCAGGGATACCCGGGGACAGGGGCGTGGGCATCCTCATCCTCAGTGCCACGTAAATGTTCTCTCCTGTCAGGGAAGGAGGCAGGAGGCAGCGCGGGGACCCGAGGACGAGCCCAGCTCGCCGGTGATGGCATGGACCGGCCGCTGCTCCAGCCGCGCTTCCCACGCCCCGCTCCCGCCCGGCTGCCCCCGAGGGCGCGACACTGATGCGGAGCCGCTCGTAGCGAGTAAGTCACCGCATTTCCTTTGTTATCCCAGCTCCCTCCTGCGCTCCGCTGGCTGCCAAGGACCGGGAGCACAGCAGGCAGGAGGACTGAGGTGAAATGTTGGGTCAGCCGAGCGCCAGACTCCCTAAACCCGCCGCGATGGGAGCTGGAGCTGTGCCGCTGTCCAACTCCCCAGAGCCAGGGAACTCTGTGGGAAACCAGGGATGGGATGTTGGTCTTGGGCAAAAGCACCGTCAGATCTCAGAAAGGGATTCTGCAGGAATACACGTTAAAAAATCCGACCTGCTCGGGTGAGAGGAGATCACTGGAATGCAAAGGGCACCGGGAGACTGATCAGTCAGCAGCCCTGAAATGCATGGAGTGACTCCATAATCCTTATCTGGAGTCAAAGATTAAATTCTTTCATAATTAGGACACTTGCCCATGAGCTGAGAGTTTAAAGAGCCCTGGAGCCCAGTCTTCAACCGATGAAGGGGCACGTTCAACCCTTGGAGGGGACAGGGAATGTATTGCACTGGGAATCCCTGGGGGGTTCATAGCTCTGGGAGGTAAAACATGACCGATTTTTTTATCCGTGTCCTGTTGCATCCCTCACAAAGATGCCTGGAGCCCTCCAGTTCGTGTCAGCACATGCTGGGTGGCAGCCCCATGCTCACTTTTGTACAGCTCCCTTGGCTTTGACTGGAGAGTTTCAGGAGCCAATGAAGAACTGGCAGAAAGTGGCCCTGTCCCAAAAAACTTGCCATCTGATTTTGGGGATTCTGGCATCACGCAGCTCCTACCTCTTTTAGGTAGACCTTGGGTTTGTAGCAGAGCAGCTGAGAGGGAAACCAAACTGGCTTCTCTCACCTGTGCTCTGACCAGTCCAAACCACCAGCATCTCCTGTGGCAGGTGGGGAGAGTGTTTGTGCTGGATGAATATTCTCCATCTCTGGAAATTTCCAGCCCAATTATTTGCCAAAAAAAGGCAAACAGAGTTTTGGAGTTATGTTCTGAGGCAAATCTCCAGACTCTTTATATAAGTCACCCACTTTCTGTTGGGTTTGAGGTCAGGAGAGGCCCTTGGACGTGTGGGGTGAGCACTGGCACTGCCCCAGCAGTTTGTGTGAGGTTGGTTTGTCTCTCTGTGACCCTTGTCTGCAGTGGGTTGAAGGTCTTTGGGCAAAAAGAGCCTGGGTTTGGTCAGTTCATCTGTGAACTCTTTGGATGCAAGGTACTGTGTGAAGTGGAAGTGTGAAGTGGTACAAACAATTTTATTGCATTTTTTTAAGGCAGCTGCCAATTACAGAGTGATTCTCAGGTGCTGTAATGGTGAATTCCTAAACAATGGAGAACAGGAATGTTTGCGCTCTTGGGGCAGAATTTTCCCTTAAAATCGAGGTTCTGCTTTCCCCAATATTCACAATGTTTGCTGTGTGCAAACAGCAGCAGAGACGGGAGTGTCTTATCAGGACAAAGGTGTCTCTTTTTCTTTGTTCAGTGTTGGGTGAAAGACAACAGTCACATTTTCAGTGATGCCATAAGGTGCCCCTAAAAATAGAGACTGGGGTGAGAGGGCAGAGACAGAGAGGCTGCAAAGTGCCTCAGGCAGAGCCACCCCCTTGGAAGTGGAAAGATCACATTGGTTTATTTTCAGGTTTTATTTGTTGGTAGAGAAAATATCTGTTCTAACTTAAGAAAAACACCTAGGAGCATAATATTGTGATTGCATCCTTTGCACAGGGACTTTTTAAGTATAAGATAATTAACTGAGAGTTACCTGGATTTTATCCTCCCATCCACCCTATGCAGTTGTGGCACAGCAAGTTAGGAGATACCTTTTAACCTGTAGAAACTCCATTTTCTTCAGTCTTTGTGCTATAAGAAGTTGTTAAAGCCTGTACACCGGGATCATTATGACAACTCAAAAGGCATTTTCTAATTTTCATCTTTTTTCTGTAAAAAAACCCTACCCCAGTGCATCTTCTCATCAGTTTAGTTTCTCCGGTCTTTTCTGCATGGGTCTGAAGTTATTACATTTGAGGCAACTGTGAGCTTGTGTTATCTGTGGGATTTTTTTATGCTTCAGTCCATAGGTGAGGGGAAAATCTATTTGAAATCTGTAGAGAGAACAGAAACTGTCTTTCTTGGCACTAGAAATAATCTTCCTAGTTATTCATGCTGATAGATCAGGCTGTGTAGGCTCTGCAGAGCAATCTTTAGACACCCCTGAAGCAGGCAGGGACTGTATTCACTGCTGCTGGAGTGGGGAAAGGAGAAAAGAGTTGTGCAGTGATTACAGGAACTCATTTAGGATTTTGGAAATGCTAAATTTAATTCCCTGCCCTGCCACAGACTCCTAATATGAGTCTGGAAGAAGCATCTTTGTGACTGACTTCCCCATCTTGAAATATGGGATATAGAGCATTTCCTTATTCCACAGCTCTTGGTAAATACATAAATAGAATTTGAAAGCCTGTGATACCTGTGTTGAATGCTGGGAAACACTTGGATACTCTGGGATTGGAAGGGTCCCACTGGTACCTCACAAATGAAATGAAAGGGCTCAGGGATATTAGAGCTGGGACTATCCAGCATTGCTGGGGAGAAGGATGGATTGGGAGGTAATTAGCAGGTAAAATTAAAGTACAAATGCCCATGGACTCTTTCTTTGTGTCATATTAGCTCCCTGGTCAGAGGGAGTTTGTTTGGAAAGACAGAACACCTTCTGTGTTGGACTCTGGGCAGACAGGAGCCATCAGCAGCCCAGCTCTGGGACAAGCACAGAGTCCTCCTGCTCCATGAGGACCATCAGGCACCCAGTCTGTGTACTGGGGGGGTCTCCTCCAGCTCCAGAGGAACTCCTTTGTGTGATGAAAGCAGTGCTGAGACACCAAAAACCCAGAGGAAATGAGGGGCATCGTCCCCCCTCAGTGCTGGGTGAGGTTATGAACAGGAAATATTGGGCTGAGGAAGCTTTTGAACCCCATTTATTAGTGAAGTGCCCCAGGTCTCCCTTCCTGTGCAGTTTCTTTCAAGCTTTTGCCCTGGTTTTGAACAGCAAACATTCTCAGCCCCCCCTCCACCTGTGGATCTCCAGGCACTTCCCAAAGAGGCACCACCACAATCTCTGTTAATGTGAAGTCAGAAAACCAAAAGATTACATGATTTACACAAAATTTACCTGCCTTTCTTCTTGCATGTGTCAAAAGGTGTTGGTGGTATTGACTGTTCAGTCTCAGTCATACACAGGCAGGAAATAAAAGTAAGTAAAAGTAAATAAAAGGATAGAGGGAAAGGTGCCTTTCTCAGGGAAATCAAAGCCCCACCTAAGTCAGTACCTGTCTAACAGTCATTTATCCTCAGGGTGTCAAAGACCATTTTTTCCTAAGATTTCTTCTTCTTCCTTCATCTTTCCACTACCACTCAATGTTCAGCAGCCAACTCTTTTATTCTCTTTGGGTGCTGCTGCTTTCATTTGCTTTATTCTTCTGCCAACTTTCCCATATTATCAGTGTCTGCCAATTAAGAATTTCATTCTCTTGCAGCAGTGTAACCCAAAGAAGAATTATGTGGCCCAGAGGAACCTGGGCATAGCAACCTTGTCTTTGTTTGATATGGTGTGGGCCAAAGGGCAGCAAAACCACCAGGTCAGATTTCCCAGTAATATCTGTTCAGTATTATTGATTGTTTGTTGAGTAGTACAGGGCTCATTGTCTGGAAAAAAAAAAAAGATGACAGAGTTAAGTAAAATTCTGTTTTGGGAAGGTGTGGGAGGTTTGCTAAAGAACAGTTGCTCAATTATTCTCATAATGAGAGAAAACACAGGCATCAGGTTTAAAAGAAACAAAAGAAGTCTGTTTTTACACAAATTTGATGACAAATTCATGTCTTTAAACTCCTCCCGACTCCAGTTTAGTCCTCTCCAGCAGCAAATCCTATCTCCAGTTAAATTGGTGTTCACTTCAGCGAGATCAGAGATGGTTAAAGGGAAAAAAAGTCGCCTGGTCAGCAGGGAAAAAAGTTTCTTGCCGACTTTTCATGTTTTACCTTCTGTGATGTCTTCAGCAAATTGCTGGAGCTGTCAGGAGGGACCTCAGCTCTGCCAGGCAGGGCTTGGAGCAGCTCTGCCAGAGGTTCTCCCCTAAGCCCAGCCTGACTCTCCTCAGCAGATCTGAGAGCCCTAAATGTCACCGCCGGCCCCGCTCTGTCATCTGGGCAGCGGCTCAACAACAGCCAGGCTGATAAAGAGCCTCTCTGCCAGGGTGATAATGCACTGACTCACAGCTCCTTGGGCAGCAGCCTGTCCTCAAGGAAGGCAGCTTTGTAAAAAGTGACATTTTTATTATCCTGGCCTCGTTTAACCAAAGATGGGAAATGCCAGAGGAGTAGGACGGGGGGTGTGACTGGAAGAGACAGTTTGGCCTCCCGGATCTCTGTGCTGGAGGGGCAGGGATTTATAGACTGCAGGCTGAGCCTTTGGGAGATGCTGGCACATATTTCCTGTTTGTGGGAAAGATGCTTATGCTTGGCAGCAGTGGTAGTTTATTACACGGGGAAGGAGTTAACCAAGTCCTTACAGTGCTCCTTTTTGAGCATCTTGTCCTGTGTGCTAAAGTTTCCAGGGCAGTTAAAATAATAATAAGGGAGTGACAGCAAATTTCCTTGTGCCTGGGATCTCACAGACTGTTCATGCCCATATCACAAATTTTACCATTGGGGAATTAAGGTAGAGGGGAAAGCAGTGATTTGCTCAGAATTAGAGAGAAAATACTTTTGGAGAAAATCATTTGAAGCAGAGAGCTCGTTGGTGTGCAGCCACCCAAAGCTGTGCTCAAACTGCTGACCAAGATCATTCTTTTTAAAGAATCTAAAGCAAAAATTCAGCTGCTCAATTATTTCCAGTAACCACATACTGAGGTTACACTTCTCATACGATGGGAGAGTTTAAGATTCAACATCAGTAGGAATTGTGTTGCCACTGAAGCCGCCAGTGAAGTTCTTACCCAGCAGGAATGTTCCTGCTTTAATGGATCACTTGTAAGGTGTTCCTGAAGGTTTCCAGAAAGATTTCAGTTGCCCTGTTGCTGGAGATCAGTAGCACTACAAAAGGGATGTTGCCAGTCCTTGGACTGTTTAGTCAAAGCAGGTTTCTCTGTACGTTCATTAAGGGGCAGTTCCTCTTGCCTGCTCCACCAGAGTGATATTTCCAGGGATTTAGGCTTTTGGACTGTTTTTATTCTGTTCTTTTCAATATCCTTTTCAGATCCTTTTGGTCTCTTTGGTATGAACCTAGAAGATGAAACCTTACACTAGATTAATGTCTTGAAACTGCTTTTTCTGGCTTAGTGTCAGTGAAACTCAGCTTCAAACATAACTTTTATAATAAAATTATCTTTAAAGCAGTCCTTTTAAAATTGAAAACATGCTACACTTGCCTGGTTTTACATTTAGATTGATTAAAAGCTTTTTATCCAAAAGGAGTAATTTTAGATTAATCAGTCAATGCAAACATATATCAAGAGGGATCTTCACAAGAGGAAAGCAAAGAGGTTCTTCACTATCTGATTCCCTTTCAGGTAGAGGATGGGAGGCTTCTTTTCCTATTAAAGAGGGGTAAAAAAGTGTGTGATTGTTCTGCCATGTGAAGTGAGAGTCAATGTCATTATTGATACTAATTATTTGACAGATAGTTATTATTTGACAGACAGTTACTGTTTGACAGCCTCTGGCAGGCACTTTACACGTGTGTGGGGACAAACACCACCGTGCAGAGGGGTTGGGAGATTCCCATTGCAACAGGCAGTGAAAAAAGATGTGTCTAAATCCCCCATGAGCCAGCTCTCGGGAGTCTTGCCTCTAGGAGGGATGGAAACAGAGGTGGGGGTGAATACTCTGTCCAAATCCTCGGTGTTGCTGTTGGAGAAAGGGGACACCCGGCACTGGGGTTATCCGGGATCACTGCAGTGGGGTGGCAAAGCTGATCCCTCCTAACTGATCATCCCAGCACTATTGATCCCCTATTATTTCCCCCTTCCTGTGGCTGCACTGGCTCAGCCCTGGCCCAAAACCTTCTGAGCAGGCAAATGTGCCAGCGTGCAGCAGCTCTGGGGCTGGGCTGGGACAGATGGTTGGGCTCCTGCAAGCAGGGCCAGCGGGGATGGTTCCAGCAACCGGCTGCTTCCTTGGAGTCACGATTGATGGTGACTTATCCAAGGGCTCAGAGTAACTCCTTGCTGTTAACCAGACTTGGCTGCAGCAGAATGGAAGTGGAAATTTGTTGCCTCATTTATTCATCCTGCCTCTGCTTCCTTCCCGCCCACCCTTCGTGCTTTTTAATACCGAAAAGATGAAGCTGCTTTGCTCGGTCTTAAAATTGTCTTTCCCAAGATACTCTTAATTGTAGCTCTACACCTTTTCTCATTCACAGGAGCATAAGAAGATTAAAGATAGAGGGAGCAGTAATAGATTTAGTTAGGTTTTAATAGGATTTGCAGAGGACAATGCAGAGAATGAATGCCATAGAAAATATTGCTGCTCTATCTTTGATATCCCTAAGGCTGCTTAGGGAGCCTTTGATGGAGATTTTGTCTGTGCCCTGCATCCAGAGTCAAGATTCTCATTTTTTAAAGGAGTATCTAATCATCTTAGCAAACAGGATGTTACATTATAACCTGCAAAAATCATTGCAGCCATCATTTTGTGTTATTTATTTGTGTCTCTGCATGTGGGCAGTGGGATTTTAATAAGTGCCTGGTGATTCTGCCTAATGTCAGGGGTGAGTTCTGAGATCCCACTAACAGCAGGCCTGGATCCATCACACCTGCCCATGTGGAATTCCAGATGCTCCATTCAAGGTCTGGTTCACATTTGAAGCCCTGGCTCACAGAATAACCTTCAGAAATCTGAATTATCCCTGGAGACGCCTCTCTCTGCTGACTCTGAGGGGAACCTTCATGCATAATTTAGCCTTGTGGTGAGGTTTAGGTAGGCAGTGGTGCTCAGCATTTTCTGTTCATTCCTGAGGTTTCTCTTGATATGCACCCAAAACCTGAGGCATCAAAAAACTCCAGTCCCTCTTGAACAGACGTGTTGATGTATCTTGACTTTGTTCCTAGTTCTGATCTCAAGCAAATTTGGTGTTCAAAAAAAATCTAAGGACAAAAAAATACCCCCAAAAAATGTTACAAGGTTTAACTATTTCCTGACTCCCAACCTTACCCATCACCAGATTCTCTGAGGTTCCAGGGCTGACTGGCAGCTCATTGATGTTTGAAGAGCCTGTGGATAATAAATCACTATTTAACTTCACAGCATTGTATTGATTTAGATTTAGATTTATTATATTTCACAGAATCACAGAATATCACAGAATATCACAGAATGTCACACAATTTTCTGAGTTGGATCCACAAGGATCATGAAGTCCAGCTCTTGAGTGAATGACACACCCAGGGGATTGAACCCTTGACCTTGGTGTTATTACTACCAAGTTTTAACCCACAGAGCTCATCTCAGGGTCATTATTTATATATTTATATCCTTATATATATTTATTATATCTGCATATTTGTTATATTATTTATATCATTATTTATATATTTATATATTTGTCATATTATTTATATATCATTGTTTCTATTTTATATATTCATTATATTTATATATACGTTGTATTATTTATATAATTATTTGTATATAATTATATATCATTAATTACATATAATAAAATTATATATATTATCTAGATATTATAGATATTATAGATATTATAGATATATTAACTATATATTATTTATAATCCATATTATAGATAATTATTTTATATCATATAATTATTTGTGTATTTATATATTTATATATTTGCTGTATTATTTATTTACATTTATTATATTTAACTTAGCAGCATTATATTTAACTAGTGGCTGTTGGGGGAGAATAGCTGAACCCTCTCAAAGTGTTTCCCAGAACAAGGTCTAATGGTCCAGACAGTGACACAAAAGGGGGTTTGTCTCAGCAATTTTCCTTCCATCTTAGACCGCATTTCTTTGTCCTGCAGCCCAGCCATGGCTGGAGATTCCAGGATCTTCATGAACCAGGACATGGACATCGGGGTGACCTCCAGGGAGCCCAAGAAGATTCCCAAGCAGGCTCGGGACGATGTCCCCATCGCCACCGACCGGACGCGCCTCATCTCGGCCGAGGGGAAGAAGCCCCGGCAGCGGTACATGGAGAAGAGCGGCAAGTGCAACGTCCACCACGGCAACGTGCAGGAGACCTACCGCTACCTCAGCGACCTCTTCACCACCCTCGTGGACCTCAAGTGGCGTTTCAACCTCCTGGTCTTCACCATGGTCTACACCATCACCTGGTTGTTCTTTGGGTTCATATGGTGGCTCATCGCCTACATCCGGGGAGACCTGGACCACCTGGAAGATGAGAACTGGATCCCCTGCGTGGAAAACCTCAGCGGGTTTGTGTCCGCGTTTCTGTTCTCCATCGAGACGGAGACGACGATCGGTTACGGCTACAGGGTGATCACGGAGAAGTGCCCCGAGGGCATCGTGCTGCTCCTCATCCAGGCCATCCTGGGCTCCATCGTCAACGCCTTCATGGTGGGCTGCATGTTCGTCAAGATCAGCCAACCAAAGAAAAGGGCTGAAACCCTCATGTTTTCCAACAACGCCGTGATCTCCATGAGGGACGAGAAGCTCTGTCTCATGTTCCGGGTTGGAGACCTCCGCAATTCCCACATTGTCGAGGCTTCCATTAGAGCCAAACTGATTAAGTCCAAACAGACCAAAGAAGGAGAGTTTATTCCCCTGAACCAAACGGACATCAACGTGGGATTTGACACTGGAGATGACAGGTTGTTCCTGGTGTCACCTCTGATCATCTCACACGAAATCAATGAGAAAAGCCCCTTCTGGGAGATGTCTCGTACCCAGCTGGAGAAGGAGGAGTTTGAAATTGTGGTCATCCTGGAAGGAATGGTGGAAGCAACAGGTAAGGGTCTGTCAAGAATCAGTCACAGTTTTGAGGGGGGAAGGGGTAAAATGAGGTGCAGTTTGGTAGAAAGATTTTACTGCCAGTGTCACCGGGACTGAGAACAGGGTCCTTTGTCCTTCTCAGGTGGGATGTTGTGCTCTGAGATAACCAGCACTGAAAGATGGGTCCTCCAGCTCCTGTTGCAGTGTTTCACACTCCTTTTGTAAGTCTGGGATTCAGGCAAAGGAATCAGTTGTGGAGCTGCTCATAATCACTTAGAATTGATCCATGGGAAAAAGGAATGGATTAAAGGAATTCCTGAGGTCTCTTGTGGTCCTGTTTCCTGTGATCAAAATTCATGGCACAAATCTTTTCCCATTTCTCCTCTGTATTAATAATTGGCTGTAACTGTGCTATTTTAGGTATTGCTGTGGTGTTGCTTTTTAATGGAGGCTGTGAAGTGTCCAAGTCTTACTGTGTCCCATAAACCAGCACGTGCTGGAGCTGAATGACTTGCACGTGGTGCAGGACACATATTTGAAAAAGGAGCTCAAAGAGGAAAAATACAGAAACTGCTGTTGTGCCTCTTGCAGCCCAGCAGCTGTTTAACAGCTTGACCAGAGCTGTGTAATGGGCAGATCAGGAGATCTCCTCAGCTCATTCCCAATTTCCTCCTAGGGGAGTGCTTGTGGCAGGTGATGAAAGAAGGCTGTGTCCATGTACAATAAATCTGGAAAAGCGCTGGGCCTCAGCTTTCCAGAGTGTGGAAAGGTGGGTGAGTGCATGGATGGCCACAGAGGCCTCCAGGCTCCTTCCCACAGGGACCTCCCAAGCTCTGGACTGGGAGGAGGGTGGCTCTAAAAGTCCTGGCACCATGAGGTCATTTCACCTCTTGCAGCCCATTCCTTTGTTCCGGGGGTGAGGAGGAGCTGGCAGCTCTTCCTGCTGCTCTTCCAGCATGGGGAGGGTATTTAAACACCCTGAGATCCTTCAGGGAGGACTTCCAAGCCCAGGGTGCCTCAGTGGAATCAGGGGCTGGAAGGGGAATGTCAGGCAGCTCTGAGGAGGGAAGTGCTGTCTAAAGATGGGGAAATGTAGAACCAACAATCAGTCCCAGTTTTGAGGAGGAAAGAGGTAAAATGAGGGCAGTTTGGCAGTGAGATTTTACTGTCCATGTCACCTGGACTGAGAACCTCTTGGGACAACATCCTGTGACTGAGTCAGGTGGGAAGTTGTGGTCTGAGGTAACCAGCAGTGGCAGATGGGTCCTTTAGCTCCTGGGGCAGTGTTTCAGACTCCTTGTACAAGTCTGGGATTCAGGCAAAGGAGTTGGTCATGGAGCTGCCCATAATCACTTAGAACTGATCCAAGGGGAAAAAAGAAAGCTGCAAAAAGCTTTTATAAGCTGTTTTTCCCCTTGGTGCTTGAGTATTTTAGTTTTGAGGTGGCCCTGTGAGCCCAAGGTGGTGCTTGGATTTTTTTTTCCATCTCGATGAGGTTCTCTCTGAATCACTAGCAAGGATTTTCAGCTTGGTACGAGTACTTGGAGGTATCAGCACCTTGTCTCACAAATTCTGACCCTTGCTTACTATGAATATTATTCTCTTCTTGAAATTTGTCCTTGTTAGGGTCCTAACAGCCTGAGGAAGGGGAGTCTCAGATTCCTACATCCCAGACTTTTGCTTTTAAAGACAGAGAGCGCTAATTCAGTGTCCCAGTATCTGGCTTTAGTCAGGAGGTGATTAGGACTTTTCCAGAGAGAGCTGTCGGGAGATGATACAGAGGTTACCCTGCACCAGGGCTGGAGTTTGCTCTGCAGAAATGGAATTTATCTGGCACTGCCAGGCAAATGTTCTCCCCCAGCAGAGCACTGGCAAAAGAAGGAGTGGGTGGAAAAGACTGTCAAAGGCAAAGATTTGTAATGGCAGCTTATCTGGGAGCCTGAACATTTACTAGAGACCAGAACCTCCTAATCTGAGCGTGGAATGTTGCTGGTTTGTCCAAAGCCTCTTTCCTCGTCACGCAGTGACACCATCAATTCTGTTTGAAGCCCTTTGCTGTCAGTGAAGCTCAGCCTGTGTGAGAGGAAGTCATTATCAATAACAACCTCGGAGTTAAAAGCATGGCATAGGAATAACATTGCCTTACAAATGGGCTCCTGTCCCAGAGGGATTGCACATATCTGGGCAAATGAGTTATGCTGGGCTCAGCCAGGCTGGGAAAGGAAAAATTGGAGCTGGAAGAGGCAGTTTGCACTAACCCAGAGCTGGATGGACCTCAGGTGATCCCGTGAGCCAGTTCTAGGCTGGGACGGGCTCTGAGGGACATATGGCAGCCGGGCAGGGGGGGTTTGTCACAAGGAGAGTCTCTTGCAGAGACTGTTTGTGCCTTCCTGCTTCATCCTCACACTTGGGAATACTGATAAAGCACTTTGGGGGATATTAATCCCAACCTTTATACCTTAAAATCTGCTCCAGTAAAATTCTTTAGGTTCTTCCCTTCCCATGTCACTGTGCCAGCCCCATCTGCTCCCAGGGATGGTGTCATGTACTCACAGCAGGACTGCTGTTAAATCATGACACTCTTACAGCCTGGACTGGGTCAGGGCAGTATAAAAATACAGTAGATCATTTGTTTCCTTAGTAACCCCTATGAAAAATCAGGATCCACCACCACAGGGTTCCCTGGTCAGGATATCCAGCTCTGTTCATGGGGCACGAGGGGCTGTGAGTCCTGTGTGCTCAGCTCTGCACTTGTGGGCAGGAATAAAATTAATGGAAACTCAGTCCATGTGTGCAGACAACAGCAAATCCCACCATAAATGCAGCCAGTGCTGGGGGCAAACACAGCTGTATTTTTTATAAGGTATTTTGGAAGCAGGTCAAAATGGTGATTGGTAACATATAAATGACAAGAAATTTAAGTGTGATGTCTTGACTAAAAGTGTGAATACTTTTCACTGATAATTAGGGACAGCAATTTTATAACTATTTTCAGTAGATTTAACCAGCCACACACATAATACAAATGAGATGTATCATCTCTTCTCAAACGAGTACCTCTATTTACTGACATTTAAGTTTAATTCTGATCCAGTCGAAAGCAAAGACAGTAAATAGTTTCAAATGAAAAGTGTAGAGTAAATTCTGAGGAGTTCACACCCTTCAAGTAATTGGTCTTTTTGTTTGTTTGTTTTTTACAAAACAAAACACTGTGGTTTAAAACAATGTTTTTGTTTTCAAGTTGACTTGAATTTTCAAAAGCCTGAATAACAACACACTGAAGAACAGCAGCACAGCAGCCAGGCTAAAATGTGATGTTGTTATTTTGCTGGAAAACACAATAAACATTGTGTTATTGTAGTGAGAGCTCTCCAGGGACTCGGGGCTGCTCCCACAGAACCAGCTGTGGCACAAAGCCCATGGATGTGGGTCTTTCCCATCAATATTTGAGTCTGGGTGAGGCACTGGGAGTCCTCAGGAGGATATAAAAGGCCAAAGAGGGGGGTAGATTCTGGGCAGATCTTTTGGGATCATTGCCCAGTGAAAGGGGCACTGTAAAGACAAGATTGGTATAGATGAAAAGTGTTCTGATCCCAGTGCTGCTCCTGTGCAGCAGCAACAACACTCCCAGAGAATCCTTAATGGGCTGGGCCAGGGATGACTCCAGGGAATTCATTCCCTTTGGCCTGAGCAGAAAGGGACACTTGGCCAGCTCAGCTGCCCCAAATCTGCCCTGCAATAAAAAGGAGTGAATGGACTCCTGCTGCCACTGCCTGCAAACAAAGTCTTGGAGCCATCCTGTGGAAGGAGCAGCTCCAGGTGCTGTCAGTCAGAGCTCTGCCCTTCCCTCCTGATCCCAAATGGGACAGGGTGTGCAAAGCAAAGTTGCTGGGACAGACAAGAGCAGGAGGGATTCAGATCCCCCTCCCCGTGATGCAGAGTCAGCTGGGTTGTGATGGGGAGTTTGGCTCGTCCAATTAGGGAGCCCATGGTTTTAATTATTATTTTTTTCTACAAGCCATCACACCAAGTGATGACACTCTCTGCAGATCCTACATGACCGGCCCCGCCGGAACGGCCCCCAACCGTCCCCAAGCGGCCCAAACGGCGCGGCCTCCAACCTGCCCGGCCCGGCCCTGCCACGCCCAAACCGTCGGCCACAAACCGGTCCGGCCCAAACGGCCCAAACCTCCCTGGCCCAAACCGGCCGCGGCCCAAACCGGCCCTTCCCAAACCTTCATTCCCAAAACCCTTCCCCTCCCCCAACTTCCATCCCAAACCTTCCCAACAGTCCCAAATCCTTCCCAAACTTCTCCCAAACCTTCCCTTCCCAAACCTTCCCAAACCTTCCCAAACCTTCCCAAACCTTCCCTTCCCAAACCTTCCCTTCCCAAACCTTCCCAAACCTTCCCTTCCCAAACCTTCTCTTCCCTTCCCAAACCTTCCCAAATCTTCCCTTCCCCTTACCTCTTTTTCCCACCACAATGAAATAAGCCACAAGAGACGCTCCAAGTGTCTGATTAGTCCAGTCACTAAATAAAGTCTTAATAAACTCTTATGTAAGGAGAGGTATTTATTTTTCTGGCTTAGATCTGTGTGATAAAAGGTGATTTAATGATTAGCAGTAATTAACCCCTCCTGTCCCTGGGAGACTCTGGGCAAACAGCAGGTTTTTCACACCTCAATTTATCCACCTTTACAGAGGACAGAATACAATTTCCTGGCTGTAAATACAGGGCCAAATGGAGAAGTCACAACAGAAGATATGCTGATATTAATCATGATTTTCATGGGAGAACAAAGGAAGGGTGAAATTACTAAATGGAGTTTTTGTGCATTCATCATCTGGTTTAGGTTGTCTTGGATTGTTTTGCATTTTGCATATAAATAAGTTTTCTGCAAGAAGGACCTTGCAGAACTGTTACAGAAACTGCCTAAAAAATTATAGGGAAAAGGGAGATGTCTTAAGTCATTCCTTCCACGAGCTGGATTGTCCTCCAGGGGCAGAGGTTTGCA